GTTTGATGCGGGGGTGATATTGTAAGGAGAAATACGTCGCCATCCCTAACCGTTTTTATGTTGATGTCCATGCGCCAAAGTGATTTAAAATATTGGGATTTTCTCTTTGTATCGGACACAGGTGACATAAAAAAATGAAGGCAAGAAACTATTTATGTAACACTATCAATGTTCTCAATCAGCAGAACGGTCAGTATCCAAAGGGGTCGTTACACAGAGCAATAAATTTCACCTTTTAATTTCACATTAGAACGAACGGCGAAGTCTCACAAATCAGCATGTCTTCCTTCGTCTCGCACGTGGGAAAAATGCGCCCGCGATACAACTAAGCGGTAAATTCGCGAAAATCACCTAGACAACTAGTTAATCATTGAACGGCTAAATAATTACAATTTTTTTATTCTTAACAATCAAGGTAAACAACAAAGGTTACACAGTAATCTAATGATGGCTAATTTATTTAACACCAAACACCAAACACCAATTTCTCCTAACTAACGGAACAATGATTATCAATCACCAGGGGGAGGTCAGAGGAATTAGCTACATAATACTACAGAGCATTAGGAGTTTATTGTTGTATATTGTTATTGTGACACAACCATAAGCCTCACTTCCGGTTCTATGATAATTGCTATCTTGATATCCCCTAACTTTACAATGCGTTCTCAGCTCAACATCTATCCAAGTAGTTGAATAAAACGAACTTGTCATAACATTCTCGATGAGGATCAGCAGAATAATCGCGACCCGACTCATTATAACGTTTTTTCCTTTGCCCCCGAAAGCTATAATTTAAATAAACTGAGGTTAAATGGGACCAAAAATTAAAAATTGATATTAATTTGGTTGCGGCAAAGTACCATATGGTCTACATTTCCCTTAAGTTGTAGAGAGCGGTTGTTCATCGCAACCGCGTTCAACCGAGAACTAAACATACTTTTTGGGGTATTTTCTTCTAGCCGATTTTACATTTCAAAAATATTTGCAATATTCCAAAAGTTCTTCCAACACACAGCCCTCTCGACAGCACTCTTCTACAAGGTCGAAGTTCCTTTTAGTCACCTGCTGTGAAGTGAGAAATCCGTCAGCTCTTTGCTTGTCCAGGATTACTTTGCTGTCTCTTGGTTTTACTGAAGGAAAACAAAGTAGGACTTGATGGAAAATAATAGTTATATATTTTGATATCGAATTAATGAAATTGTTTCTGGGCATTTATAGGTAAGGAAGTTTTAAAATGATCGCTTATGCTAGTTACGGGATTGCTTGCTATCACCAACCAAGATTGACTGGGTACACGCTTTGTTTTTGTTATGCGAATAATTTTCCCACCAACGACCCGGTCCGTCGTCACTGAGCACTCTCCTTTGCCCTGCTCTCCAAGAAAATTCTTGGAGTTCGTGGGCGTGAGAGTCTTATTTTGGTGAGTCTTTTTGGTGAGACTCAGTTCGTTACCCATGAAAACCACCAGTGTGCGATAAATAACTACCCAGTGGTAAATGATGAATGATCCATAAACACATTTTTTCAGTATCTTTCGTTACCTCACTTCATGTGAACCATTCGCAGTTTATGACACCAGTCTTTAAAGTAGCTGTAGACTTATGAAACAAAATACCGTACCATTTCTTTTCCTTCGCAATCTGCAGAACCTAACTAAAGCTGTTGTGAGTTGAACGCCGCAAATATGAAAGGAGACCTGCTTTCCGGAAATCTCGTCAATTTTACGGCAGCGATCAGGTGGTGAAAGCGGGGTACAAGGAAAGAAAGACGCCTCGATTTGTAACGACGTGGTTAGCATCCATATTATTAATACGAAGCTTATCCAGTTTATCTACAATTGTGGAAAAAGAAGACAAAATGCTCAGTGTCCATTAATAGCTTCACCTCTTATAGTCTTAGGAGCTGGCTAAGAAGCTTGCGGACTCCGGGTAAAACAAAAGTTAGACTCCGACAAGCTTACCCAGGCCCCTCTCAAGTGAGGAGAAATAGAAAGAGCAGAAAGATCATAGCTTAATCGAAACTCCGCGAGGAAAGAGAAAATAATAGCTACAGGGAAAAGTTGCTAACTTCGATGTCGGCAAAATGACTAATTGGACAGAGGAAAATCATTCAAACCTTGTTAAGCAATTAAAACGAGCGGAAAGGCTCTCACTTCGTAGTTTTACAAAGATGAACAACTCTAGAAAAACTTTTCTCATTGAAAACGATGTCGTCCCTGATAAATTAGGTCCTTGCCTTAAGTGAGTAGACATTTGACTGATTAAAGAGCAATAAAACCTTTTAAATTTCTCACCTTGTAGCTCATCTCGCTTGGTTCGTGTCCACAAGTGTAAGCACCAGTTCTTACTATGATGT